AGATATATATATATATATATATATATATATATAAGGGGCTGGTTCAAGTGAGAATGCACCTTGGTGAAAGAAATAAGAATAAAATCTGGCCTTTGGATCTAATGCATCGTGCGGCTCAGATTGCATTCTGCACTCAAATTTCGAGATAATGCATTTTCAAAGGATTATGGTGCATATCGACATGATGCATTTTCAAACCATCTTGGTGCACCTAATTTTGATGCAATCCTAACCCCTAGATCTCCCAATCTAATGCACTAGATTCATTCTTATTTCTTTCATTAGATTGCATTCTCACCTGAACCAGAATCTATTTATATATATATATATATATATATATATATATATATATATATATATATATATATATATATATATATCTCCAAATAAAGGGTCTATTTGTAAATAACGTTAGAGGTTAGTGTTTGCGTTTTGAAAACGCTATTCCCAAACCGGCCCAGAGTCATTGCAATATACTCCAGGGTATGTGAAATTTGCAGTGAATAAGACTAAAACATAAGTCATTTCCCAATGTAGGACTTGATTTTTTTATTTTCTAAATAAGACTTAATAATGACTAGTGGGAAGAATAATGTCCAAGTGATGATAGACATTTAGTTGAATAATGAGTACTACGTAATAGATAATGATCAATGGTCCTACGTTGAATAGTTCTCAAATTACGAAAATAAATCCTCCAAAAGTTAAAATAAAAAAATGCTTTGGTGAACGGATGGAGCATTTGAGAACTATTCAATGATTGTCATTTGTGGACTATATGTAGAAAATAATATCTGAATGAAATGACTCATTATGAAATAATTCTCAAATATCGAAGACCAAAAGTTTAATATCATAAAATATTATTTTTGATATATCAATTTTTTAATCATTAATTATGCACAAATTGTTAGGTTATGTACCCATTGTTGTGTGTGTTGGCAATCCATCCTAACATAAAAAACAGTAATTAATTATTCAAGTGTCACATTATTTGGGGTGAAAAATAAAAAAATGGAGTAAATTTTTGTAAGGGTCGGACAAAGTATCTTGTTTGGATTGGAGTTGTAATTGCTAATTATGTAGGCCGGTTTGAGAACCCCAATACGCTGCATGCGTCTTGCTACGGGGGCCAACTTGGGATCACACAATGGTCCCGGTTCGGATCTCCTTTACCCGAAACCTTCAAATTTTGTTTGCTTTTTTTTATATATTATTATTATACTAAATTTTAAAAATGGTCATTTTTAATAAGATGTCTTCTTAAATTAATATTCAATAAATACTCCCTCCGTCTCATATCTTTATTCCCGTTGTACAAAACGAAGAAAAATCCTAAATTTTTTTAAATCTATTTTATTTAAATAATACTCCGTATTGGTATAAAAATAAAAAATATTATTTACATATTTAAAAACGGTATCAAAATTTCAATAAAATAAGTGGTGAAAAAAAAATTTATTTTATCATATACGCAATGAAAAAATGAAAATAAATTAAAAATATTCGTGAAGTTGGAATAATGCTTTGGGGAAGAAAGATATGGGACGGAGGGAGTAATAATTACCAACGTGGTCTTTTGAAATTGAGACGTATTCTCTAAATAGTTCTTTGTCAAAAATATAGTTAGTTAGACTATATTTTGGTATTTTCCATCATCTAAATTATGGCCTATGAATAAGTCCTAAAAATGGTCCTTCAAATTAACTAATTATATCTGGGTGGCTGTTAGAAGAAGAGACCCACCCCGAGTCACCTAATGGACTCCAATTTGGAAAAATACTTAGAACTTATCAATTTAAAAAAATATTTAATTGTAGAGAAGTAATTCATCAAAAGCATACTTTAAGTTTAGATGATAGAAAAATACCAAAATACCTTCTATTTGATTGACATCAATAGACATTTCCGCCAGAAGACTATTTATGGACTAAATTTAAATTATAAACGGTCACGCCAGTAATTATTACTCCGTACTTATTAAGGACTAATTTGAAAAAACACCTTATTAAAAATACCGCTTTGAGAATTCACTTTTTTTTCATCTTTATATACTCGATCCACTATTTGCAAAAAAAACTTCTAACTTTGACTTTTACGAAATTTTAAAAAAAATACTCCGAACTGGATATTAAGAAGTGAAGTTGTAAGAAGTGCCATATATATTGTCCCATAAAAATTGCTGGGGGTGGGGCATGGGAAGAGCAAAAGGTATGGATAATCAGTTTTGTGAATAAAACCGATATTATAACATTGATGTCCATTGTTAAGATATCTTTGTCCTCATATCCTTTTATTTTTACCAGATATTGAATTCAGATATTGATAAATGCTAAAAATCAAAAGCGTAATCGTATCTTCCTCTTTCAGATATCGGTCGGATACACGGATTAATGTACGATTATTCGAACGGATGTATATCGAGAATGAAAACATTGATAAGAATAAACACACCATATGTTTGACTTTTTAAACACTAAACGTGCATGCTTTTGTAGTTTAATTTCTTTCATGCAAATAGTTCGTTCCCTCTATATATTTTTCTTCCATGCAAAATTTCTCTCCAAATATTTTAATTTCCATCAAATATTTACTTTATAATAATAATTTCAAAACATTTTTAAAATATGTGAGAAAATGAATTTGGTCAGAGATAGAGAGCCGATCAAATTGACTTTAGAGGACATACAGATGATTCTCCCAATTCAATCGTTGTCCTCACGCCCCCCCCCCCCCCTTTGATTTTTATTAATGATAATAACATATGAATATATAAAAATTATATGAATATACGGCCCGGTTCTAGTGACACCGGAGAACGGCACCTCCGGTGCTCCGTTCGTAAAATTGACGGTTCTTACTCTCCTAACTCACCTTCTAAACCCCCGAGTAGTTATTATGAACATGTTAGTAATGTGTCATTTTTTATTCTCATTTTTCGTGTGTGTTTTGACTAATAATATATATATATACTCCGTAAGAAAGAATTAAAGTATATATAAGTATTAACCTGATATTATAATTAATTAATACTCCCTCTGTCCTTCCATATTTATCTGCTTTTAATTTTTTGGTCAAAAATGATACACTTTGATCTCAAATCAAATAAAAATTACCCCCTCCGTCCCTGATAACCTTTCTCCTTTCTTTTTTCATTTGTCCCAAAAAATACTTCTTATTTCTATTAAAAAGTCATTTTTATCCCTTACTTTTTCATACTTACCTATCACATCATACCTTTTTACTAATAATCTACCCATCAAATCCTACTTTTACTCATCACATTAAAAGATATTTTTGGAAATTCAATACCAAAATATACTCCCCTTAAATCTCTTCAAAATCAAAACATCTCATGTTTAAAGGGACGGAGGGAGTATATTAGATATTGATACAAAATAGTTTAATAAGATTTATTATATATAATATTTTTAAAATATTATTTTATCTAATAAATATACAATATATATTTTATTCATTTATAGGTCAAATGTTGAAAACAGTTGATCGAAAAAAGTCAAAACTGGAAAAACACTCATGGACGGAGGTAGTACAATATTTTTTCATATGTTTTATTTGGAATAAATAATAGGAAACAAATATTATTAATAATTATTTTAATAAGTCAATTAGTTTTATACAGTAATTAGTATTTTACTACAATTAGTATTCTATGTATATTCTCCACATATATGGATAGTATCAAATTCCATGAGATGTGATCATAATTAAAAAAACATTATATTAATAGAAAAGTCTAAGAAAAAAATATTCTGGCCGGAGAGGGAAAAAATGTGCATTTCAATACTGTTAATCACAACAAAAAATGACACGCTATATATTTGTCGTCGTCATGCACTTGTTAATTAATTACCAAATAATGTATGTAGTTGGTCTTTGTTTCCTGTTTACGTTGAATTGATCCAATGCATGAACTCACTCAAATCTCACAACCAATATAAAATAGTACATACTTATCCATATAATCTTATTAATTAATATAATACTCTCCTGTTTTTCAAAAAAGTTCATATATATATTGTTGCTTTTGGCAGATTTATTTTTATAATTTGACTTTTCATATTTTTAGCATTGAATATCTCGTTTGGCATTAGAAGTTAGTATTTTGAAAAGACTGTCAGACGGTAGCCTTTAGCATTAGTTTTTTCAGATTTTATCTATACCCTTAAAATTTATCCTAACGCTAATCGAAAATGTTATTCCTAGCTAAACAAGGCCGAAGAGAAAAGATCAGAGACAAATCAATTAAATAACGCATTATATCTGGTTGATGCAAAGTAGATGGATTATATTGCATATCTAGATATATTAGTCATTTTATTTTAAAGTTAAAGTATTTTGTTAGGAAAATAAAAAAATGAAAGAGGAAGAATTTTAAAAAGGGGAATTTAATCATTTTGCTTCAAATAATCAGTAGTAATTAGCAACATATCTTACTAGTATAAAGCAATAATGCGGAGTAATTAAAAAATGAGGTATATTAGTCAATGTGGAGTAAATTTGCTTCGAATAATCATTACTATTATATTAATTACCAATATATTTAGTAAATCAATGCGGAGTAATTAAAAAAATGAGTTATTAGTCCATCCAAATAATTGTATTGAACTGTACAGTCAATAAGTAAAAAAAACCAGCTAAGGACGACATTTTTGTCCGTATTATGTTTAATAGGAAGATCCCTACCCCGGTAAACCCCCGCCAAATCCAGACCCAAACTAATCACCCCAATTACGTCAATTGCACCTCGTAAGTATAATTGACTTTAAAGTCAAAAGTTTTGACTTTACACTTACGAGGTGCAATTGACGTAGGTGGGGTGATTAGTTTGGGTCGGGACTTGGCGGGGGTTTACCGGGGGGTTAGAGGGGATAGGAATCATCAATTTTATGAACGGAGCTACGTAGGGGGGCAGTGGCTTCTGTGGCCACTGGATTCCAGTGGCCATGGAACCGAGCCGTAGGAAGATACTAGGTAAACATTATTAGTCCCTATAATTCTTATTCTACGATAATTAGAATTTTACCGTGTATCTCCTATATATAAGGATGTATTTTCATTAGTTATTTAATAAGATTAATTTTTATCAAATTGTATCATAGTTTATGATATTAATCAAACTTTTTTCGATCAAATTGTATTAATTTTGACAATCATTTTTAACCGATCACTGTAATAATTCAAAATAATCTTATTAAAAACGGAGTATGTTTTAAAGTTGCTAAATAAAGAGTGATACAAATTAAGTACGTAGCATATATTACCTATTACTACTATAATAAAAACAAAAAAAACGATTTTTTTTTGTGTTTTCTTGGAAGAATTACGTCAACATTACATGCATGCACTAAACATGTCGGCAAGACCATTCACAAGGGTGTATGTGAACATATGGCGTTGAACAAATTCATTTTGACACCCTAGCTAGCTTCCAATGGATTAAACTCCAAATGCAATTCAATATGTTCAGATATTATTAATTAAAATAGTTATCTAAAAAAGGAAACAAATAAAAAAAGTATATATACGGAGTACTTTTTGAGTGTTGAAAACGTACATCTGGATATAAGGTGTGGGAAGTATAGAGTATTTCTTTATGTATAGGTGTCTTGTATATAACTTTGTAAACAAGGTGTGTTGCTACCATTTTGATTTAGTTCTTTGCATATTTTTGCCATTGTGGGGGTATTAGGCACTTAAATCCCTAACAATCAATTCGTAAGCGCGGTTAAGAGGAAAAAATTGAAGAACGCGTGGGAGCGACGTCACTAAAGCGTTTGAATGTTTCCGTTGAATTGATGAGCCTTTCTGATGGTCGTCGTGACGATTCTATATATACTCTTCCATCAATGAGCAAGAGTTTAGAGAGTTTCAACTTAGAAAGGAACAATTAATCAAGGCTTTTAAAATGGAGACTCCTCGGAGAATATAAAAAAAAAAGGCTGATCAGCTTGATAGATTAGGTTGGCATTTGGATATATGTTGAAAAAGAACATCAAGTCATTTGAAAAGATAAATTTGAAGAAACAATCTATTGGTCTCAGAATGGTAGAAGAAGCAATTTTCCAAAAAGATGTTCCTTTTGTTGGCTTTTCTTTGTCATTGTCTTTTAACAATATCGTGAATTAAATTTTTGCTGCAAGCTAAAGACTCCCATTCATTGATGATTAAAAGAGAGAAAATTTAAGTAAATAACACTAAAATATAATTAATGGCTTTTTCTAAATAGTATCATATCTGTTTTTTCCCAATGTAACACTTTTGGTCATTATTCAAGTAAATGTTCGCCATCACTGGATATTATTCAGTGCTATTTAAGGAATAAAACAATTTAAGTGCTATTTAAGGAAATGACTTAAGTTTTAGTGATATTTAGTGCAAATATTTCTTAAAAGAGGGGGGGGGGGGGAAGAAATCACGTAGCATTTATCCTAGCGTTCCAAATCAAATCAGCTATGACGAGTTTAGGTAATTAAATTAGATTGAATATTAAATTCTAATTATTTATTTCGATCATATGTGTCATGTTAAGGATTAAATTCTAATTATTTATTTATTAAAATACTCCAAATATTCTTAAATAAATGAGTTTTATTTAATTGAGGATAAATACTCCATATAAAATAAAACTCAACCACAAAAGGAAATGTTTGGGGGAAAACTATTCTTCAGCTTTAACCAATAAAACTTCCAACTGAAATGTAACTAACACTTTCACCTCTCTATTTCTTCACCCATTTTCAGATCAAACCTCAAAAATAAAGCAACTTTCCAAGCACAAAATTAAAAAAAAAATCTTACATAAAAAATGGTAGGGCCATCGGAGAATGTCAAGCCTGCCGGAGCGGCTGCCGGAAACCAAGCCTCCCCAAAGTTGCCATCGCCGGGGCAGCAGCATGCCGGAGTGCTCCACCAGACTCGGAAGGCGTCGGTCTGCCCGGCAAAAATGGCCGCCGGTGGACTCGCCATTGCCGCCACCATAGCCTACTTTACGTTGTACTCCAAGAAAAAACCGGAAGCCACCGCCATTGACGTCGCTAGGGTTGCCACCGGCACCGGAACACCGGCCAACACCCATCCTCGCAATTAAATTCGTGCATGCACTTAATTTGCACCAAGATTTTTTATTTTTTATTTTTTTTGCAGTATTTTGATTTTTATTATTTAATTTTGAGTAATCGTTATTTTAAGATTAATCAACTTTTTGTAGTTTTCCTTTAAATTCATTTCTTTTCAGGTTAAATTGGGCATTTATTCTGTCTATTATTACTCGTAATTGATTAGCAACAATAAGAACATGCAATTAAAGGATGTGCTTGGGTTAACAATTTCTATTTTTTGGAATTTTGAAATAACATTGTTAATGTATATTTTCATACAGTTATATTGAATTTCACAGATGTTCTTATCTTGATCTCAATTAAACACAACATAAAATTTAGTAGTAATTTGCAAACTCTCATCTTTCTCATCTAAAAATGTTATCTTGGGAGGGTACAAAAGAAACTTAAACATCAAGACAAAATAACATAAACAAAATGTAGAGGAAATGGCATTTAATTTGAAGATACACAATTAGACTTTAGACACTCATTCATGATCATATGACTACCCACCACCCAAACCAAACCTCATTCCGATGCTCAAGTACGTCGATGAATCAATCAATCTTCACGGACGAGTAGATACGCCTCGTGAACCAAAAGCAAGCATAGAACCCTATGGTGCCAGTCAAAACAAAGAATGCAAAAGAAGCGATGAGCATGTACCCGAAATAGAGGATCCCGGAGACGGGCTTTGTGATCTCCAGCTTTGTGAAGAAGTAAAAGGCGGAATAGACAAAGAGGTAGAGAGCTGAAGAGCCAGAGGTGAGGTAGGACCGCCACCACCATAGGTAGTCCTCGCTGCAAAGCTGGAAGTAGCAGAGAACAATAGTGATCTCTGCGCAGGTGATTACCAGGATGACAAACACCACGAATAGGAAGCCAAATATGTAGTAGAACTGCTGCAACCAGATGGAGGTGAGGATGAAGAAGAGCTCGACGAAAACTGCCCCGAACGGGAGTATACCCCCAATCAAGATTGAGAATACCGGGTTCATGTACCACGCCTGTTCGGGTATTTGTCTTGGGATCTTATTCGTTTTGACGGGGCCCTCGATGGCCGGCTTCTTGAACCCTACGTAACTACCTACAAACACGAGTGGGACTGAGACGCCGAACCACAAAAAAACCAGAGCAAACATGGTTCCAAAGGGTACGGCGCCGGATGACCTTTCCCCCCAAATCAGAGCATTCAGGATGAAGAAAACAACAAAGAAGACCCCTGGAAACATGAAAGCCGTTTGGAGAGTGATTTTCTTCCATTCAGATCCTCTGAACATCTTGTAGAGACGCGCTGATGCGTACCCGGCTAAGACACCCATGAAGGCCCAGACGAGAAGCATGGCCGTCATTAACCCTCCACGGTTAGAGGGGGACAAGAACCCCAAAACGGCAAAAATCATTGTCACTAATGTCATGCCGAGGAACTGAACGCCTGTCCCCACACAGACACACAACAGATCTGAGTTTGTTGGGGGTCTGAATACATCCCCGTGGACCAGCTTCCACCCTGTTTCCTCTTGGGCTTCTTCTTGGGTCTCCAATTGGTTGTACTTGGAGATGTCGCGATAGAGGGTCCGTAGCATGATCATGGCCACCATACCCGAGAGGAAAAGAACAATCATCAGAGAATTTACAATTGAGAACCAGTGGATCTGATCGTCAGTCATTAGAAGATACGTGTCCCATCTTGATGCCCACTTGATGTCACTCTCCTGCAAATATGGAGTGTATTATTAGTGGTATTAGGTATTTTTTCAAGCTCATTGCCAATGGAGCAAAAAGAGTCATTTCCGACCATGTTTAAGTTTTGACTTTTGAGTAAATAATACTCCGTACTCCATTAAAAAAGTCAAAAAGACACATTAAGCTAACTCCTTGCTTCTTACTTCAGATGGAGTTTTGGGCTGTAAATGCAACAACGCACCAAATTAAATGGTCTTAACAGAAAAAATATTTATGTTTTTTACAGGGTTAAAGTGACCCCACTTTCGTGGGATCCAACTCGGTTGTTGTTGTTGTACAGGGTTAAAGTGTCATATATCTTGATTCTTGACCACCCACCCCCCAAAAAAAGAAGACCCAAATGGAGTTGAAATTTTACTTTGGTTTTGTTGCTGTTATTGCATATTTGCATCAGGTATTTTAACTTCATTTGCATTTGGTTAAGTTATGATATCAGTTACCTGGAATTCAACGTCATATGTGAAGATGATTTCCTTCTTATCCGCAACTTCCTGGGGAGAATCAGAGGTTGTAACTGTGCGTTTGGCATGAGGATCACATGTGCTTAGTCTTGTGTTGTTATCAGTCCATTTACCATCATACTCATGTTTCACGCTGAACATAAAAAAACATAAGCCAACACCTAAACACACAAGTACCTAGAAAATATATTTAAAAAAAAAAATGTATCTGACCTGAAGGGTTTTACTTCAAACCCAACAATTCTAGCAGCATTAGTTTCTGCATCCTTGTGAAACTTGACAGTAAATGTTAAATGGTTGTGGATAAAATACTTCTCCTCCTTACTCTGTGAAATGATATTTAAGATGCATAGAAAATTAATTGCAACAGCCTTAGAATTAGAAATACAAAGTTAAATGGAACAGGAAATGTGCATACCCCGGCGTATATTCCCTTGAGACCAACATGGAAACCATGTTGATAGATGATAGAATCCTGATCAAGCCTCTTAATAGGCATAACGAGAGGAAGGTTATCCAAAATCCTGTTACATTCAAGTACTAAATCAGAGACCATTGACTATCATACAGTTGACAAAAACAGCACCAAGAGAAAACTTTAAATTGTTCCCAGTACATGTTCACCCGATATTCGTCATCTATCTTCTCCTTAAATTCTTTTTCTGTTTTTGCATTAAGAACAATATGACATGCAATGTTACACATCTGTGGTTCCCTCATACGAAACTGCACAAAATGTTCTGTTAGACCTAATTTTAACAATTTAGGGACATAATGGATTTCAATTATCATAAAAAAAGTAATGTACCTCATAAACAGAGTTCTCAATACGGTCACCACGAAGAACCTCGCCAAGATTTTCTGCACTGTCCACAATGCGATCTGGCTTACAGTAAGGAAGGGAATAATACGAATAAGGAAGTTGAGTTCTAGTAGAAGCCAGTTTGTTGACTTTCACCTTCAGAGGGTCACCCTGCCAAATGAGTGAATAAAAATAAAAAGTGAACTCCAATGAGGTATCAAACACTACTACTCACTGCAGGTATTTACAAAGGCGCAATTTAAATTTAACAATACTGGGAAATACAGTTTTCCAGCTGCTCTCTGAGAAACACAAACTTTCATCAACAGGGATGCATTCAAGCAGAAAAATAACTCAGAGAAGCATTATACTCGTTACCAAGCAAGGCAAGAGCATTAGGTCTGGATATAATCTGATCAGTATTACTCTTCTTCTATTATGTTACAAACGTACAGAAATCAATTTGATTCGAACCTGAACAGCTAAATTTGATTTCAACATACAAATCAATAAGTAGAACATGTGACCCTTACACACAACCATAGCATTGATCTCATGACTTAACATCGAGATTCAAGCCTATACTTGAGATATCTCATATGGAGTACTGTAATACATCGAGCGGCTTAAATTGCTAACCTTCAAGGCAATATATTCGTATGGAAGAACGAAGCAATCGAGCCCATAAACTCAAAAAGTTCAAACCCTTCAGCAGAAAGGATAAATGAGTTTCTTTTTTTAAAGAAACAACTGCATTTCAGGTGGAATTCAATCACCAACTTGGTTGGGAACCTAACAAAACTAAGTAACTAACTATGCACATATTTTTAAGATCACAAATTCACAATACACTAATCTATTCCAAGCCATCATATGATCCAAGCAAGTGCCTAGGTCTTTGATTTTTGTTGAACCAAAAGCTGGCTGCTTGTATAGATCCGAAAGGAAGACAACTGAGAGCCTCAGTAATGAATAGTAAGCAGGAATTAGGGCGGACTATCCAGATCTGTAATTAAAGCAAAAGCTGTATAGTCGTCAATTAAGAGCATTTGCGAATGATTTTACCTTCTGGAAATCCTGAGGAGCGACTCCGGGGAGGTAGAAAGAGTGAGCCATGGCGAAGAAGACGAAGAGGACGAGGAAGCAGCACGAGATCCATCGCGACAAACTCGGGACCTCCATAGCTGCTCTCTGAAGATCGATCCCTCGCGCACGCAGCTTATGACTGCCGAGATCTAGATTTCTCTCTCTTCACTCTTTCTCTCTCTGTACCTCCACGCAGACATGTACGCACGTATAACTGTATTCTACGCATACAGCATAATTTTCCATAATCCTCCTCTTCTTCTCTGTTACTATTCGAAATGTCAAATTTTAATCATTTTTTTATATATTTTGTAATTTATTTGATAAAATAATACTCCCTCTGTTCTATAATGATCTTCCCAGATCACTATTTCAACTTTACGGGAATTTATATTTATATGTGTTTTTTCATGGGCTATATGATAAAATAAAATATTCTTGTCACCACTTGTTTTGTTGAACTTTTGGTGTAGTTTTTAAATATGTATGTTTTATTTTTTATTTCTATACCAATATTTAAATAAAATAGATTGAAAAAACTTGGGATTTTTCTTCGTTTTGCGAACCGGGAAGATCATTATAGGACGGAGGGAGTATAATTTTGTCACATCTTGTCTTTTAAAAATTTTGATATAAATTTTGAATATATAAATTTTATTTTTTAATTTTAACCTACAATCAAATAAATCAAATTGAAAAATGAAATCGGTCAAACCTCATAAATATAAACGGAAAATATGTTTTAGAACGGAGGGTACACCAAAGTAAAGTACTCCAAACAAAAAGAGACATACAAAGATACTTAGGGGCTGTTTGGTAACTTCTGAATGGGTAAGTGCTGAACCAGTAAGAGGTCTGAAACATTAAGTGCTGAACCAGTAAGAGGTCTGAACCATTAAGAGCTAGTATATTGTTTAACTATTCAGAGGCAAATGTCTGATCAATTCAGATAAGAGCTCTTAACCATTCAGACTCTGTATAATACTTAACCATTCAGAGGCAAATCTCTTAACCATTCAGACATCTGAACCATTAAGAGGCTGAAACAAACAGTC